TGAATACCTTTGCGGATCTGGCCTTGGAGCTAATGAACCTCTGATTTCTAGCAAAGCTCTGGATCTCTCAGTATCACCGCCTCCTGCCTCTCTACATTACCCCTAGCAGAAAATAAAACAGGTAAATACAGAAGGAACTTTCCCCACAAACTTTTTAGCTCAGAAAACAGCCTAATACAGAAAGCGACTGTGTGTGCTTGAATGCATTATTTGGAGCAGCGTGCCTGAGGCTGAAGCCTCCAGCCCAAACCTGAGGCTGACCCTCCGGCCCACGCTGTGTTACCTGTGCAGCCTGGGCAAGCACAGCTCCCCGTGGCTGGAGAGTGTAAAAAAAAAAAAAATTAAAAAATCACATAAAGTAAGAAAAAAAGCCAATGTGGAAGGAACCTCTGGGTAACAGGGCTGCTCTGCCACACCTGAGGCAGAGCACCACACTCTGGTGGCCAAGCTGGCCACAGACACGTGCTGGGGTGTGTAGGGCCAGCACAGAAGTGACCCAGGAGGGGCACCTGTGTGTTTTGGTGAGTAAATTCTGCTCCTGCACAGCATGATGACAGCAGAGCAAGAAACCTGCCTCTGGCAGGCTCTGCAGGGTGCAAAAACCACCAGACCTCTCACAGGGAACACAGCCAGGGCCCTGCTCCCCCTAAAAATCCGCATCCAGGACTGGAAATTTGCCCTAAATCCCTGAATTATGTTTGTAAACACCATGCTGCAGCAGGGGGACAAAGCCTCCATTGAAAGCAAGAGATCCATGTGCCACCTGGTGTCCAAAAGCAGATCTGCACTGTGACCTGAATCGCTAACAGATTTTTAAAGTTTAAAACTTAAATAATATCCCCACCAGGACAAACAACCCCCTGCTCAGCTGCAGTAACACAGGGTGCCACCCTACCCATCCTAAAGACCTGTACATCAGAGTGCAGATCGTCAGAAAACACCCATGTTGTCCTCCCAGGTCATTTCTGAGGCAACAGTTTGCCAGGCTTCCGAGTCCTATAGGCTCAAACTACAAAGCTTAATTTAAATTAAAAAAAATAAATAAAAAAAATAAAAAGAAGGACATTCAGAAAAGCAGCTCTCAGCCTATAAACCAAGAAGGGAAACATAAAGTGGATGCTTCCAGTGCGAGCAGCTGCTGTGACTGAAGTCTGGGGACACTGCAGAGCAACAGAACAAGTTGCTGCTGATGGAGAGGCAGCTTCAAGTGGCCTTACAGCAAAGTCTTGCTCTCCCTACAGCTGGTGGCATCACACAGACAGGTGCTGGGCCATCAGCAGCCAGAGCAGCTAGGGTTGGCCCTGGGGCAAAGCACCAAACTGCTTCTGGAGCTAGAGAGCAGACACAGCACACACGTGGCACTGCACCTCCAGAATCAGGCAAGCCAGCCCCGTTCCTATGTCAGTTTTGCAGCAGAGGATCACCAGAACATGCCACTACTCCCTGAAACTGTTCCAGGACATCTGTAGGGGATGCTCGGCCCTACTGGTCCCTACTATTCTCCTGAGAAGACTTCCAAGGGGACCGTCTGCTCCCATTACATCCCTGTCACACCCAGCATGAGGGGAGATGACTGCCAAGCACTTTTCTGCTCCCCAGACTCTCAGCCCTACAAGAGATGGGATGGGGAGAAGATGACACCAGTGTGGTTAGCCTGCAAATGTGCCAGTCTTCTGGGCACTAACACAGCCCAGGCATGGCAGGTCTCACCTCCTGCCAAGGGGTGGAGAAGGTGGGAAAGATGCTTTAGGGCACAAAGGTCGGGTGTATCTGGGCAGCACGCACCAAAACCAGGCCCTGGCAGCACCAGGGAGTGCTGACTACAGCTTCCCCTGCTCAGACAGGCTGGGTGCAGCCACACAGGGGAGGGCACCCACAGCCATCCTGAAAACTGGGCTGGAAACTTAGCGACAGCATTTCCAGGTCTGTTTCTGAAGGCATGACAGCATATTTAGGCCAGAATGCTCTAATGTCCTCTGAAAAATTAGGTACAAGCTCCTGGCAGCAGCAAGATGCAGGGTGACACTGCTCTGCCCTGACCACGCAGGGTCCCAAATTCTGCTCCTACAGACGGGAGCTCCCTCAGTTTTGGAGGGCATCTCATCCATAGGCTTCATCTGTGGTCCCTTTCACAGGGCTTTCTCTCTATTTGGCTAGGCTAGCTAGTTGTGCTTGCTCTGCGTAATTAGGAGGAAGGAAAACTAAGGCAGAGATGCAAATGACCCATCCCAGCACAGCTGAAGAAAGGGCAAGGGTCCCAGTGAGGCAGTCCCATTAATTATGAGAATAAATGACAGGGTACAGACCTAAAGCAACAAGGATTTTCCCTTCAGGAGGATGCACAGACCTTCTCCCAGCTTGTACCACAGCTCCTGCTTAAGAGCCCAAGGGCTGAGAGCAACAGCAAGGCTGACAAACCCTGGTGTGCTGTATTTTGGGGCCTGGCACAGCTCCCAGCGTGGGGGACACAAGCCACCTCATTAATTTCCCACGCCACCCCCGGCTCCCAGTTGCTCAGCAGAGCAGAAATGGTGCAGGGCCTGGGGCTCTCTGGGCCCAATTAATTTAAGCTGTGCTCAGAAGCTAATAGGGTCCTTAACAGGCACTGAGAGCAATGGGAGCTCATGAAGGCTGTTAAATTTTGTGTTCTTTCAGCATGTGGGAGCCGAGCAGACCCTGAGATCAGCATTCCAGAGATGCCCACGCTGCATGGGCCGTTAACCCCATACACAGCCAGCCCTGCAGGATTCAATAGCTGCTTACAGACCCGCCTACAGCCAGGCTGGGTAAGGGATGAGGCACCGGGCAGCAGAGGGAAGATGAGAAAGCACAGATGCTTCCAGAAACACAGGCAGATATCATTTCTGCCTGGGAATTTCCAGGTCCTTCCTATCACTGTGAACTCCAGAATACCAGAGTAACCTGGAAGCTAAACATCCTCTTGCATCGATGCCAAAAGGCAGAATGTGGATAGGATGCACAATGCCTTTTGTGTTACCGGGCAGACAGAGTGGAAAACTATCCCCAGCTGATGCTGCAGCCATTTAAGAGACTAAACACAACCCTACACACAGCTGCAGCAAGGCACAGGTAGCACAACAAGCTGCCTGCTGTCCCCAGAAGCTTCTCTGGCCCTTCCCTGTCTCTATCCCTGCCTGTGCATGTGGAACAAAACAGTTGAGATGATGTGCCACAGCCTTGCAGCACGTTTGTGTGCTCTGGATCTGATATTACAAGTTCCTGGATATCAGAGCAAACATCACCTGCCCACAGAGGCTGAGATGTGCTGGGGAAGCCAGGGAATCACAGAAGGAAGCATTAGGAATTTACGGAAGGAAGCATTAGGAAAAGGGGCTGCATCCAGACTGCAAGCACCACCTGGTGGCCGCTACAAGGCAGCTTGCTCTCTGCTGAGGCCTGGCCTGTGGATGTCAGAATGTGTGTCTGGGGATGAACAGGTCTCTGAGGAATATGCAGCTCCCTTCCCATGGCCAAGGTCGTTTTAAGGCAGAAGGGAAGCTCAAAGGCAGGAGCCTCTTCCCCACTTCCACCTTGTGATGCACATAAGGGAGATGTGCTCTGTGCTCACCACCTTCCAGCCCTCACATTTATGCATCCCCTCTACTGCAGGGGCTCAGGGCCTGCCCGAAGCATCAGAACAGAACACAGCTACAAACCCTGTGGTGAGGATGGGGACAAGCTCTCTGCAAAGGGCAGGGCTGGAGCTCCAGGAGGAGCAGAGGGCAGAGAGCACAGACATGTCAGGCTCCCTCTGCCCAGGCAGCGTGCTCGTGCAGCTGCCTGGCTCCTGCTGTTCTTCCCCACGAACAAAGGTAGGGAAATAGCAAAAGCCCAGGGTAGGCTCGTGGTGGACAGGGGACATTACTCAGTCAGCTCTAGCTCAAGGCAGCACAAGGATCTCATTTCTCACCCATTTTCTGGCCAGTAAGCCCAGCTAGTGCAGCCTGGACCATCTCCAGCTACTGCACAGGCTCCTGAGGAAGGCTGACTGCTGTCTTCTCCTGCTGTTGGTCCTGCCATGGAGTTCATCACTGCACAGCCTGCCCTCTGCCACCACCACGAACGCTGCCTACAGCTGACTCCTGCTCTGCCTCACAATCTGCTTCAAGTCACACCGAGATGCAGGCACAGAGCCAGGAGACCCCTGGATGGAGAGGATCTGGCTGTTCTGAAGGGCTTCCAAAACCTTCTCAAGATCTTACTGACAGCTTATTAAGCCAACTCTCACACAGCTGACACACTTCAGGTCAGCAATGAAGACCTCTGAGCCCACCAGAGCCTTCAAAGGCGGCAGAGGAAAGCACAAACCAGCAGGCTGCAAACTGGAGGGCCTGGAGATGGGAGGTGGGCACCTGGCTGCAGGTACAGAGCTAGCCCAGCCTCCCTCCAGGAAGGGGCTCCAGATCCCTACAAGAAGCCAGCAGAATCCTGGCAAGAGACAGCCCAGAACCACACAGCCAGATGCTGGGCTCTCTTTACCATCACCACATTACGTACTTTTATCAAGCAGTGTGGTTACCTGCTGCTTCCATATTCACACAGTTGGGATTGTTGAACGAGGCACTATCACAAAGCCACCTCACAATGCTTTCTGCAGGACAGAAGGCTGAAAGCCTTCAGTTAACACCAGAAATATAAACCTCATTAAATACCAGAGCGCATTCATCAGTGGCTACAGGCTAAGGAACAGTGTGCACCTCTCATCTTGACACATGGAAAGGGGCACGTTATGCTGCAAAGGGCATCTGGCCCACCTGCAACCCCCAGAGACTACAAGGATTTCTGCTCCCTGTGCTGCTCTGCCTCACCCTCTCTGCACACAGAAGTTGTGATGAAATCACCTCCCTGTGCAGAAAACATTTTCCTATAAACTGTAGGAAGCAGTGTCATGAAAAGCCTCAAAAAGGGTGATGTGAAACAAGGAAGGAGGAGTTTGCTTGAGTGAAAGGTGCGAGGCAGCCTTTACAAGCAGGTCTTACCTTGGTTCAATTTGGTCTCTGCAGCTGTTCTGCTGGCTCACGAACCCGCTGTGGGGACAATCCCCACGGACGCACCCGAGGTGCGGAGGCTGCCCTGAATCCAAGGCCAGCTGAAGGGAGGAGAACGGCCACTCCTGGTGGAGGCTGAGGGGTGCTGGAGCTCCCTGACAGCAGAGGTGCTGGTGGTGGCTGGACGATCCCTGCAGTGCCTGGAAGTGCAGCAGCAGGAGCCATTTCTCTCTTGGTGTCCTCAAGTTCTTTTTTTTTCAGCCCATTGACCTAAAGCAGAAACATGGAGAACACGGTGAAGAGCTCAGTGTCACAGAGCAAAAGGCACCAAACACGAGGACAGATCACTTGGGAAACGTGATCTCAAATTCCTATTCTTTCCATCACAAGATGCAATCACATTCCCTTCTCAATGACACACGAGAGCAGAAGGCAGCACTGTAGGTGACCTGCATGATCACTTAGGGGCTGGGAATCCTCTTTCCAGGAGCTGGTGCAGGGAAAGATGCATCCCTGCAGCAGGGTGACCTCCGAAGAGGTCTGGCTAGCAGGCTACAGCAGGAAGCATAATAGTGCCCCCAGAACTCAGTGATTGAAACAGGTCTCAGGTGTGGTGGTTTATAGGTCTGCCTCAATATATGCAAATATATTAAAAAAAAAAAGTAAACTCCCTAGCAACTCATGCCTATGGATGTCAAACAGCAGCCTGCTAGATATGCTCTGTAAAAGAGTGCAAACAGAATGGAGATTTCTCCTCATCTGCTGATCCTAATGCCAGTGAATATAAAAAGGGAAGAAATTTTATGCAGGTGTGAACAAAAAGGCTCCTGTAGAGACTCAGTAACTGCACTGAGGCTCTGAGTTATGAGCTGAAGCAGAAATAACAGTGATTAATAGCCCAGCACTTGTACTGACTTGTTGTGTACAGATGAGAAAAATATCCTGAAAAAAAAAGTCTTAGAGAAGAAATCACTTGAGGGGCATTTCTTCCCAAAGTCCCTGCTTTTCCCCAAAGCACCTGCCTTTGGGCTGAGACAGGGGATCTGCAGGACAGCCAGAGCCTGTGCTCTTGTGCTCATGTCCACACCACTGCCAGCCTGCAGTCCTTGCTGTCTCACCTACCAGAGACCCTGCCAGGCCTTCTCCTGGACAGCTGGACCCCTTTCCACCATCTCCCCTCCTGATCTCCCTTAGCTTTTGACCTGACCCAGGCATCAGCCAGCACAAGGCTGATGAAGCCTCTGTCCTGCAGTCCCCAGCCTCAGCCAGGGCTGCCACAGCCCACCGCCAGTCCGAGGCAGCCCAAGCTGCAGCAAGCTGAACGCTGCCCTTGCTCGGATCCGTTCTCTCTCATCTTCTCCAAGGTAAACAGCCAGAGTGAGGAAACTCAGTAACAGAGATGTTTTTCTTCCTCTCCTCCATCAGAACAGTCGCTTACAAAAGTGCGTTGTCACCAAGAAAGGGATTTCAATAAAGTTTCCATTTCAAGACTGCTTGCTTTGGATAACTGCCAGGGGCTTTATCTTGCTCCCTGTTTCTCTCGCGGGTGAAGTCGATACATTTCCAAAGAACAGCACGCATTTTGTTTTTTTATCAGACAAAGGATTTAGGAGGCAGAAGCATCTGCATTGAAACCAGAGAGCAAACCCAAGTCTGCACAGCCTGCTAGTTCTCCAAGCAAAGCGCAGCGTTTGGTGCAGCCACAGGAGCTGAGGACACTGAAACATGGCTCCTTGCCAGACACCCACCGCATTTCTGCTTTTTTCCTCCTCACACAGAGGAAGAAGAGCATGGCAGTCTTAGGAGCAAGCCTCCCACGCTTTTTCTTTGATAATAGGGAGAGGAAAAAAAGCACAACCCTTAGAATATGCTTAGCAACTTCTGGACACAAGGGCCAGTCCCACAGAAGCCAGGTCACTGCAGCTCAGAGCTGTGAGATGCTGAGCTGGAATAAGCATGTGAGGGGAGTTATCAACAAAATGCAAGATTCAAGACAGACAACATTATTCGTGTTAAATGCGTGATTCAAACCCCTTTTAGTACACATCAAAACTCCAGAGCTGCCTGTGGAGCAGAAGAGCAGGGCAAGACTCAACTCAGAGAATGCCTACCCAAAGACATCTGGACAAGGGAGAAATGAAGTAGTCATCTGCGGACTGATCCTTTTTGCCTCAGGTCTATGGCTACTGTTAAGAGAAAAGGGAAACAGCAAGCAGCTAGAAGCAGCCCAGCACCATTCAGCCTCTTCATCTTTCCCCTAAATCTACCTGCTAAAGCAGAGGTGGCCACGTCCATCAATATCACTGACCGGTGGACTCATTATTTCTCCTCCTTCCATTACCACCTCCCTCCAGAGAGGACCAGAGCTCAGTCTCGTTGTAACCCACTCCCAACTTACTAGCCCATGCCCCAGCCCATGGTGTACCTCCTCACTCAAACAGGAGAATTTCCTTTCCAGTTCCTGCTTCTCCTCAGCCACTTGCTGTTTCTTCACATCTGGGATCTCGCCACCACGTGCATCAAGTACTTGCTCCATGAAGTCCCTTTTCATCCTCTTCATTTTGATTTGCAGCTCTTGCTGTGCAGTCAGTCAGTTCTGGGTCCAGCTGCAGAGGCAACGAGCAGGGATGTACAAGGAATATGTATGGATAGGGAGGGGAGCATCCTATTTTTGCTCTCCAAAACCTCTAAAACCTCAACCACCTGGCCATCATGCAGATTAGCTATCTAATCCAAGAGGCCAAAATAACTCATAGCTGATCTCCACTCCAGTAAGGATGGACCCCAGGTTTCCCAGATCACATACACTGGTGCAGCAACACCTTGCTTGATGGGAAGAAGTCAGATTTGGCACAGCCTGGAGACTGCTGCTCACCTGGCAGTGACAGGAACTGTATTTTTTCAATTACATCCCATCACAGCTTCAGTTTCCTGTCAGACAAATTGCAGGTGACTGTCTGACTGGCTGTGAGCTCAAAGCAGGGAAGCCCCATGCCCACAGCTCAGATGTTGTTTTCCCTCACTGTGACAGATGCAACATTTTTGTTAATTAAGATGCAAACACATGCTCTTCCTCAGAGAGGTCAAGCATAACGTGTACAGCAGTAATTAATTAAGCAGGAGTGACTGGCAGCACTCGTAGTCCAGTATTGGGTACAACAGGCTTCATTTTGATTCCTGCTATCCTAGCTGTTACCCGACCTCACCATCAGCCAAAAAACATTTTCTCCAGTTCCACCACTCCGGCTTCATCTGATTTATCAATCCAGTTATCTAAAAAGGAAAGGAAGGGAAAGACAATTAAAGAAAAAACACTGTTGTAAACACATTCCTCTTTTCTTTCTGCAGTATTGCCACAAGCCCACAATGCCCCCTACCACTCCCTGCAGGGCTGTGCTCTGCCCCTGCCAGCAAACACCATCTGCCCACTCTCATACTGCTACTGCAGCACCTCTGCCTGCAGACTGACTTGCCCTTCGCCGTGGGAGGACACTGCAATATATTGGCTTCTTTTGGAAACTGCTGTCAATAAAAACACTAAACCCTGGCAGCACTCCCAGCCCAGACACAGCAGCATCCTGGATCTGATACAAGTGGCATCGCTGTGCCTCAAGCCAGGGGAGGCATGGCCCAAAGAGGGTAGTGAACAGCAACCTGGAGCCCTATCCTGTGTGCAGGGTAGGGGTGGGAGCAGAAAACAAATACCAAGACAACAAACAGCTCAACTCGAGGAAAAAACATGGGGGAAAAAAAGCAGAAAGCTTTGATGACCAACAGCTCCAGGGAGGACAGGAATGAAGAAGCAGGGTTTGCTCTAGAACCACGATCGACAGGGCAGATTTCATCTGCACTACAACCAGTGAAGGGACTTACCCACCAGCCACTCAACGCTCCTGGCAAGGTGCTTGCACAAGAAGCCAGGAACAGCTCTGTTCTTGCACAGCATCATTTGTGAGACACATTCGCCAATCAATTTCTAACTGTGAGGTCTGTGGCAGGAGACAAAGCAACAAAGCATTAATATTCTTACAATGAAGTATCTGTTGGCAAGCTTTTGTAAATGTGCCAAATCAATTTTTAAAGATTTCAGAGAATAGGACCACACAATTAAATAAGAAAAACATAGAAATGCTTCTCCATGATGGACGAGCTAGCAAGCAAGCTAGCCAGAACTTCTCCAAGTAGAAACATGGTGAAGAGAGAGGAAAAAAAAGGTTTAAAAGCAAGTCATACAGGTATGGGAAGGATGTGGAGGATTCTGTTGTTTACCATCTACTGAAAGAAGGTTGGGGCCATCTGAATCATAGAATGGCTTGAGTTGGAAGGGACCTTAAAGATCACCCAGGTCCAACTGGAATCAGGCTGGCCAAGACCCCATCCAACCTGGCCTTGAACACCTCCAGGGATGGGGCATCCATAATCAAAAATCAGCCTTTTAGTAAGGTATGCTCTCCAGGCCAGTATGTGGCAATAGGACCATTCCTCAAAATCTGAATTTATTTTTCATTCTTTGACACCTCTAACGACATGAGGTACTGCCTCTCCACCTGTCTTCTCTCTTGCTAAGAATCCATTTCAAACTAATTGAGGGATACCCAAAACATTCATAACACATCAGAGATTTCTTAATAGACAAACATTTTTTACTGAACAGCAAAGAATCCTTTCAGAAACCACACAAAAACTGTTAAGAAATATCTCATGGTACCTAGGTGCAGAACTCCATAGTTCCTTCTGTTCTTGTAAAATCAAGCTAAGGAAGATGACCAAGTGAAGAAACAAAGGACAGAACTTTTACTACAGAACCTTTACTACAATTAAAGATTGACCTAATTACTGCACGATCCACCACGTCTCTGAAATCCTCCTGCAAGGCTTCCATAAGCAACCAACCAAATAATTGTGGTGCAATATAATACTGAAGAGCCCACTGAATAAAAGCACAGCAGCTGTAAAACTCTTGGAGCCATGCTCAGAAGCACTGTTTACCATTTAGGACAGATGCTATTACACAAGGGTGGTGCCAGATACAGCTCCTATTAAACTTATCCAATATTTTTAGTCTCATTTGAGAGTTAAAATACACTGGGGGAGAAGCCAGAGATGTGGCTCTACCCAAAAACTGCTTTCAGCCTATGGAGGCAAGTTTGCTTTCTCTTTCCCCTAAACACTGTCAGAAGAATAATCCATTTCCCAGGTAAACCCCAAAACTATTTATGGGGTTTCTAGAAGAGAACGAGCAATTCAGGTGCCATAAAAAAAAAAAAGAAAAAAGGTATCAGAGCTACGAAGGGAAACCATTTTCAAAACATTAATGGGAAAACCTAGAAGCAGAATTAGAAACACCGTACAAACCTCAGCAGGTGAGCCTCCCCCCAAGACCACAAACACCACGGCTGGTGATTGCCTCCCAGCACCCTGCACCAAGACCACACAAGGAAGGAGCCACGCACCCCCACATCCAGAGGCACCCAGGGTACCTCGCAAGTAGCTTTTTGGTGATGCCTGACCTGGTCCAACACCCACTCGCACAGGATCCAGCCTTCAGCCGCCTTCATCTCGCCGTGAAGAGATGGGACGCAGCCACTGGGCTCAGACACGCACTGCTGCTGGGGATCAGACCACAATTAATTAATTCCCTGTGGTGTGGAGCTGCCCAAAGCAGGCACATGCTCAGTGCTGCGGGCACTAAGGCGTTTTTGGTTACGTATTGTTTTGAACTGGTAAAGCACAGAGGAACATAGTTTATGACCTGTTGCGAATTAGCCCCGAAATAGCAGGGGCAAGGGCAAATCTTGTAGATTTAAAAGTTAATTGAATTAAATTAGCATTAAACATACACCATTACGAGATTACGCCGAAGGCTTACAGCAAGGTACAAGGACATCTAATGCCTAGGTAGAAATCCTTGACACTTCCTTTATTTTAGTCTATAAAATGATCATCCAAAGAGCTACAATAAACCTTTTAAACAGCAAATAAAAAGCAAACTAACAAGGAAGGAAAGGTCCCAGCTCTGTCCGAGCCCAAGCAGGGGACAGGAGGCTGACACGGGGAGGACACAGGCTCCAGGAGCACCAGAACCTCCTGGCCCAGCTGCACCGTGCGAGCAGGGCACAGCCCCAAGCCCCAAGGGAGGGGGCATTGCTCAGTGTCCCAGCCCTGTGTTTTTAAAACTTACCTTCCCCTGCTATGGACGTGATTTCACAGAGCTGTGTTTTGGCTGGAAGAGGTGAGTTTGTTGTTTTCTTGATTCCGAAAACACGAACAGGAGGGAAGCCTGCCTTCCAGCCCACACTGGGCAGTGGAGAGCAGAAACAGGAAAATCCTACCCACGGTGCGGGGCGTGGATCACATCAAAGGCTGCCGAGTGAGACGAACAAGAAACAAGAAGGCATCATGAGTTTCTGTGCGCCACTAGGAAAACTTGCTCTGTAATTATTAACCATTGCCCAATCCAGCATTTCCAGGAACTGAAAGAGGAGATTTTATGAGCACAAAGCTCTCTTAACCAAGGGGAAAACAGCTCTTAAATTACCTGATCAGAGCCTGAAGCCCCCCAGTTTTCTCACTAACTGCAGACTAAAGGCAGAGATCAGCCAGTGACTTGCCTCCCCCTCCTCAGAGGACATGAAGATTTCTGTCAGTACCACCAGGACACTCGGTTGCTTCCAAGCGAGCTCAGCAGCTCCTGGAGCTGAATGCCACGGGATGGCTGGGCAGGGTGAGGAGCAGGAACCAGCCACCAACCTGTCATCACCATCCCCACTGAGTCAGGCTGGGGCTCTGCCTCCCCTCTCGGCACCACAGGCGAGCTCCGGAGAAGCTTCCGAGGCTGGACACTTGGGGCTTCCATTGATGGAAACCTGAAACAAAATGATAGGGAACAGCATGGGTACCACAGTGCTCATCTATTTTGGTATTAGACATGATCCTGAAGGCAACGTAAGGAATAAAAATAGACCAGCTTAACTACGTGTTCTGAAGAAAATTAGTTTAATTCTATTAATTATAATTGATGATTTTAATTATTATTTTTGATTGTTATTTCTAACATCACGTAGGCATTTATTCCACACATTTCTTCCAAGGGAGATGCAAATGTTACAAATGCACAGCAGAGCTCAGCTTTTTCCACTGCCCTTTGTTTCTTTATGAGGCAGAACAGCCTCAGGAGCTGGATTTGGGATGGGAAAAAGGAACAGGAGAGCCCAGGTGCTGCAACAGAGAGGCTGGGCCATGACAGGAGCAGGAAAGACTCACCTGAAAGCCTGAGCACACAGCAGCAAACAGGCATCTAACAAAGAGGGGACAACGTACAAGCTTGCAGCCAGTTAGTGCATGCTTGCAAAGAATGGAAATTGATTACATTGCATTTAATCATCAGCCACATTCAGACGAAGCAAAAATCAAATTTTGCAAAAGTTTTTGAGAGGAGTGGAGATGCAGCAACGAGCAGCTGCTGAGGCTTAAGCAGGCTTCACGAGCAGACCTTACCTGAGCTGGAGGTCCTGCACTGGGCCACGGTGCACCTCTGTCACTGGAGCTGGCTGAGATCAGCCCAAGCTGCAGCACGAAGCTGGCTGCTGGAGCCTCGGGAGTGGCAGGAGGGAAGCCAGGCTGCTTGTAGGCTCTGGTGAGTCCTGGTCTCCAGCACCACTGGCCTCTGAGGGCCTGGCATGGGGGAGGCCAAAGCCCTCTGGGCCTCCAGATGGTGTGTATGGGGTTGCTTACCTACTGCATGTCTGTGACCATGGGACGAGCCTTTTGCAGGTCACGGCATCGCTGTGCCACCACCTGGCCCCACACAGAGATGAACATTCATGAGACCACCACCCGCCAGCACAATGGGGATAATGGAGCGATGGGGACATGGCTGCAGGACCAGAGAGGAACAGCCACTGACATGGGCTGTGGGAACACCATGAGGCAAAGAGCAGCTCTCACAGAGCGTGCAACTCAAAGAATCTGTTTTTAAAGGTGTGTTTTTGAAATGTGAGCTCTGTGGGCACCTTCTTTCTCTGTAACCAGGGGCACAAGCAGGAGTGGTGATGAGACCTCTGGACTGGTCTTTTTACAGGAAACCAGGGCTCTCCTTGCTGCACAGTGGTGCTGAGCACACTGGTGTACACCTCAAGGAGCTCCTCCATTCGTTTTGACAGGTCAGACAGCGCAGGACACCACGCTGCCAGGGACAACGCACACATCTTCAGTCACCGGAGTACTGGAGCCAAAAGGCGCGAGCATTAAACAGACAAATGACAGGTCAGGTAAGAAAAATACTGCCTCTTCATTTAATGTTTAAAGACATCAGTAAACAAACAACAGTATGCACAGTAAGAGGCTAAACCCGTCCCCTCTCCCCAAACAGCACCCTCCAAACCACGACAGGACCAGGTGATAACACGGGAGAAGGAGCAGCAGCAGTCTGGGATTTAGGAAACCTCTGCTGTGTGAAGGCAAGACGACAGGACCTGCAGTAGGCAGCTTCCCTCACCCATGAGCAGAGTGACATCTCCTGGGCAGCCACGAGGGAGTGGCTTGGGTTCCACATCTCTTGCAAACACACAGAAGGGCCACACGTGAATTTGGAAAACAGCTGGAAGCTGCGTTGGAGATGCAAGACGCACCATGTACTGACCTTGGCAACCAAACTGCTGTTCCGCAGTGATTTTAGCCTCTCACAGAATGAGGAAAATGTGGGGGTTAGGTCCAGCTTGGCAAAGTGTTGCAGTACTCATTTGTGAACGCAAAACTGAGTACAGGGGGAAACAAACAAGACTACGCTCTGCATACATTCTTCCACCTTGCTCCAGCAAGCTGCTCCCTGCTCCAGTCACGCTCCTGACCCCTACCCCAGAACTGGCCTTGTCTTCTTGAACGGTTTTCCTTGAGCTGTGGAGCATCAGATGGTCAGAAAGGGGATCGGGAAGCAAGCCTCAGCGTAGGCTTCAGAGGACAACTGACTGGGTACCTGAGCAGAGGGCTGGGGAGACTGGGATGCGGCAGGTGTGTTGCTGACGAGAGGCAGAGGTTGAGGCACAAGCTCCAGCTCCCACCTTCTGGCAGAAGCCCACACGGAGTTACAGGAGCTGACTGGGCCGGTGCAGGTCGGGCTCAGCAGCTGCATGGCTGCCAGCCGGCACACAGCACAGATCTGAGCACTACTTGAGTTTCCATTTCCCCGAGCGGTGACAGTTGGAACCGTGACGTGTGGTGGAAAGTAAGGAACACATTTCACTGCTCTCTGCCTTGCAGACAGCAGAAGTCTGCAGTGGTGCTGTTTCTGCTGCCACCACTTGCAACCAAATACAAAGGGAGGGCTCGCTGGCACCTGTGCAGCCCAGTTAACTGCACCAAGCATCAACGTGGGTCCCCCCCGCAGTCCAGAGTCCCACACCAGAGCCCTCAGATCTCGACATCGCTCTCTTTGTCGTTATCAGTGGTCACCATCATAAAACTCGTTGGCAGCTTCAGGCCTAGGGGAAGAGACAATCATCATTAGTGAAGAGCCCTGGCACCCTTGGGGCAAAGAAGAATGCCCACAGGTCTCACTGCACGTTAGAAGATGCCTTGCACCCAAATACCTCAAGAACTGTTTTGTGAGGAGACCACACATTTACAGAGAGGATCCATGGATAAAAACCAGACTCAAAAGTGAGTTTGTATCTGTTCCAGGAAATGGTCTCCAGTACATACTCTACCCATCCCAGCAGGAACTTAAAGGGAATCCCATTTCTCCAGAACAAGAGTTGATACCTGCTGTAGTTTTCCTCAGAGCCTCTTTCCTCTGGATCAGGCTCATCTGTGCGATCGTAGCTGAGCAAGTCAGAAGGGACATCGTGGATCTGCACGCTGGGAGCATGGTTCAACATCTTCAGATTCTCAAATATCGTCTGCCTGATCTGATCCAAGTACTACTTAGAGAAAACAGAGAAGGATCACCACTGTCAGATCTGGTACTTTGCACAGACAGAACTACAGCTGTTAGCACTACAACCTGCCTGCACCACCTATGTGGTGGCCATGAGAAATGCATTTAACAAAAAAGAACTATTTATCAGAGCAGAGGAGGTAAGAGGGTTAATTCAATCACTGAGGCTCCTGCACTTAGAAAACAGTAAGACAATTCAACCATGTTCTCAAATACTTTTGTCCCTTTGAGACTTTCTGACATCGAAGAGGAAAGGCTGTGCTTGCTCTTCATCAGCTTGCTGCTCCCACAATAACCCTTTGCCTGGGTCCCAAGTGGTTTCACAAAAGCATCAACCACAGGGTTTTTGGGTTTACACAGCTGGACACCGCAGCGAGGCTGCGAGCACTCACCTGCCTCGAGTTCTGATTTTCAATCCTCGTACTGACATCAGGGTGAAGGGTGAAGTCTGGAGCGAAGTATTCGAAGTACTCTGCAATGGCACGAGCACAATGGTTAAAGCACAGAGGCGAGGGAGCCAGCCACCAGCTGCAGAGCAGCTGAACTCACTTTCCCACCATGCCAGAGGTGACCAGACCCTAAAAACCACAGTGACGTACAGCTCTGCAGCTGTTCCATACCATTCCTTGCAGAGTCAGCAAGAGTAACGCTCAGATCACCCAAGAGGAAGTGAACCACGTTAAATAACACATCACACGCTCAGGGTGTGCCTGCCCAGCAAAGCCTATGAGCAGGAGGTAGAAGGGAACCAGGGTTATCTCTGAGATCAGGAAGCTCTGACACTTGGGCCCTGCTTATCTGTGGTCAACGCAGAATAGAAGTGCTATTTTTTCATCTGACACAACCTACTTTAGCTCAACGAGTGGAGAAAATACAGGAACTCAAACTTACCACTGTACGGGAGCTCTTCACTAATTGCTTCATCTACAAGCAACGATGTTTCATAAGTCCTAAAAACATGAAATAACATGGGCTCAGCCCACAGAAAGCTACACAGTGTATGCAGGGGCAAAGACCACAGCGACTGCTTAACCTGTGACCTTCAACTAGGATGGAAAAGACTCACCAGCACCGTGCCACATTGCGGACTGTGTAACCGCCTCCTCCCAGTACCAGTAAGGGGATGTTGAAGCTCTTCACATACTCCACACATTCCCTGGAAATCCCAAGCAAACATGTCTGAGCTGCTAATTGCAGCACGTGCTCATATCAGAAGTGTCACTGTGTGCTCAAATGCCACCATGGCTCATGTGACACACCTGGGACTCAGGGCTCCTACCCTGGGAAACTGAGCCAGGTGCTACTCTGTGAACTGCTGCTCTTGTACAGAGTCCCACTCTGAGAACCCCTCCCATCACACAAGGGTTTAAAAAAAGAAGACGACAAAAGAACCCACACAAACCAACAAACCCCAAAAACCGTTGGTGTGGCTGAAGGCCAAAGTCAAGGTCTCACAGCAGAGGACGCTCTGCAGCCCTTCAGACTAAAGGACAGTCTTTCAGCTAACTGCTGTGCCCCTGCCCCGCTGTACTTACCCATGCCCTCTTATACTGAGGTTAAAACAACCCAAACGGTCGCAACCCAGAGAATCAGCACCACACTGGGGAAAAGAAAAAGAACAGCTGAGTTTTGGCTACATAACCACTGCTTTCTGCATCACCATTCTACCCCTCTGCCACCTGCATTCACCAGAGGGACAGACAGCAGCTCGGCTAGGACACACTGACCCCAACCCCTGGGAACAGAGGATAACCCAATCAAGAAATGCCCCGCCAACCTACAGCCTCTGGACAGGGGGATGTACACGTGCACAGAGGCTCAGTTTCTTACCTGCAGCACTATGCAGGTGGGCTGATAGTAATCTACCACCTGGTTAATGACTGGCTGGAAGAGGTGTTTATAACCTTTGGAGAGAAAGACAGGTTTGTCATGGCTCTGGAGAGAAGGACCAGCACATATCTGGGCAAGGGGGAAAGGCAGGGGACACCTACGTACTTTGGTCATCGATGCCATCTCGTAGCGGCACGTTGAGACAGTAATAACGGCCGCTCTCTGCACCAACTTCATACATGTCCCCTGGCCAAGGAAAGACAGGAGAGTCACAACAGCTCTAAGACTCCAGAGGTGCTGGAACACCAGATCTGGTCTGGGCTGAGACCTCTGAAACCCTAGCTAGAATCCCCCTTTCCTAGAGGCAGCTTTAGCTCTGTTCCTCTCCACTTGCTCCTCCATGCTTTTTCTTCCTCCTTTGCTCCCTGCAGTTGCCATTTTGTGATTTTATACCCCCAGACTCCAGCAGCACCTCTGAAGGACCCTGAAACAAGGCCAGGTTCACGTTATAAAGGAAACTGCATACCTGTGCCAGGGAAGAAGTAGTTCCCGTATTTATGGAACGACACAGTCATGACACGGTCCGTCAAGTAGAAGGCCTCCTGCACACCATCTCCGTGATGGATGTCAATATCAATATACAGAACACGCGGGTGGTATCTACAAACAGGAGGAAAAGCAGCATTATTGTCTGCTCTGCACCCAACCACGCTCCTACCCACAAGGCTTAGTATCACTTAGAGCTCAGAAAATCACTGCTGAAGTTTACCTGCAAGCCCACTTGCTAGAACTCATTTTTCCCACCCCAGGTGTATCAAACAGCTTTACATGTTACATTTGTACAGTGTCCACTTAAACACACACCCACTAAAACATTTTCTTCTGATGTGCTTAAAAAAAGATAGCACAGAAGGTTTTCAGATAGAGCCACAGATATCTCAGAAACCACATAAAATCTATTTAAAACATGTGGGGTTAGAAAGCTCTTTGTGTGTGTGTGTGTGTGCGCGTGCCCCCTCCCTGCAAACAATTTTTCAGCTAGTTAATCTTTAAGAGCTCCAAAAATATTTAACTGTATCTGGAACTGAATGTTAAGCTAGCCAAGGAGTGCTTAATGCCTCATTGCACCAACACCACCGGGGTGGACTGCAGAGGCTGCCTTGCTCTGAACGAGGAGCAGGAGCCTGAGGCACAGCTCCTGCAGGCCGTGGAAGTCCAGGCAGAGCCCTGTCACTCCCAAAGGGTAGGGATCAGCTTGGGGCAACACTGTGAGGATGGCGAGAGGTTGATCAAAAACTACAGGGGTAAGAGAAGCACTGAGCATAGCACAAGTCAGAATGGATGTTCAGACAGAAGGGAAAAGAAGGGTAACTGGACTTAACCAGGCTCCTTTAGCTCAGCCATCCAAACAGGCATGATGTTTACTGGAGGAGAAGCTGTCTGGGTCACAGACAGGGAATGAAGAAAGGGAGATCACCACAAGTAATAGTGTTGGTGTAATGGTCAAAGGTGACATGCAGGTGACAGCATTGGAGACAGGGCCCTAAAGCCATGCCCTGCCCACCAAATCTAGAGCTGCCTGCTCAGCTGCAGAGAACTTCTGCAACATTTCCTTAGGAAATGCTGCATCTGGTCAGTCCCCAAAGAGCAGGGAATTTGACATCCATGCCAAAACCCTACAGGGAGAGATCCAAGAGAACAAGACAACACTGAAACAGAGAGGAGGAGCATGTGGCTCATGCCATCTGTCCACTGGAAGCGTGGCATTCAGTGTATCTGCAGTGACCTAATCATGCTGGCTGATGGCAGTGAGCCGTGCTGATTAGCAAATCAGTACCTCATTACAGCCTCCCAGAGACACAGACCATATAAATTGTCCAGATTTATCCCTAAAGACAAATGATGGCTAAGAGAAAAAGAGGCTACAAGCACCCAGCCTTCACACCCTGGTAAATGGAAGAAGGGACCTCCTAAGAGCAGAGGGACCACAGGGCAGCAAACTGAAGCACGCAACCACCTCCCGCGGAAGTGGTACACTAGAACAGGAAACAAGAGAATAGATATATCATAACCTCCCGTGAGGGGTAACTGGGCTATATTTGGTGCCTCTCATAAATAGGACTCATGTGAGACTAGAAAATAGGTCTGTAGATAAACTGTAAAGACCTGAGGTTCCAAAAACAAAATAGGGAAGACTGGCAGAGAGGAATGAAGGTACAAGAAATGCCAGTACATTCCATAAATCTGACTTGCAAACAAGTAAGCTTGCCACCAGTCACATACCTATTCTCCAGTCAACCCTAAAAAGAACTTTTTCTTTTTAAATTCCATAGCATCTTGTCTCATATTCAGCAATAAACAGGGCATATGAGAGTATAAAAAAAACTTCACAGCCTAAGACAAGAAATTGAAAGTATTTTGGTAACTTTTCCTCTCATTCAAATTTTTGATTTCTAAAAACAACAAAAGAAGTTCTCTACACACAGCAAGTGTCCTTTGATCAAACACGTGTTGCCCAAGTCCTGGCTCTTAAGCCAGTCAAGCAAATCAAGACAGATGCAGGCCATTTTATTCTGTCTCCAGTAAGCCACACTTCACATTTACCTACAAAAGGCTCACTGTGGCAAAAACCCTGATTCAGGAGACCCTGGAATGGGTATTTCACAGATTGTTAAAGAGTAACAAAGTTTAACTTTTCCCATATCACTTGAGCAGCATACAACAAAACTGGAGTCAGATATTCCAATTCTCAAGACCCCTTCTTGTGCCTAAAGAAGGATCAGGCCAAGAGATCAAGCTGTTGGCCTCCCTGGACTCTAGAAAGACACAGCCACCAGACAGACAAGGAGAGAGATTCAGCAGAGAAGAGCAGGAAAGCACCATCCCCAGCAGTACTGCACGTGCCCCACGTCCTTACTTGAGCAGCTCCAGGATGCCAATAACTATGTCATTGACGTAACAAAACCCAGAAGCCTGCAATACAAAGAAAACCAATTCACATTAGAACAGGATCAGCCAAGAACACAGGCTCAAAAAGACAGAGCAGGCTGCAGATTCCCCTTATTACCTCAAACTTTTTGGCATGATGCAGGCCCCCTGCCCAGTTTATCGCAATATCACAGATCTAAGGAAGGAAAAATAAGTTACTTTGAGATGACAGCATGGTAACAACCACCTTGCACCCACTTCCCCAGTCAAAAGGGACTTCAGCCAGCACAGTGCTGTGTCCCACACACACCTTTTTACCCCTTCCTCTACCTATGGAGGCTTTTCCAAAGCTTCATCTTGCTCATTAGCCCACTGTTACAACATGTCCATGCCAAATTAGTTGGGTTCACTGAAGATCCCAGGTTTGTTGTTCTACATTGCTGAGAGTACTTTGTGACTATAATCCTGTAGTATTAATGATCTGTGGCTCCCTCAGGATTAAACATCTACTAAAAGGCTGCTTCTGACAGTACAGGAATGGTCTCAAACTCCACAGTCCTGCAGTGCTAAGAATTTATTCTGCAACACAGCAGTGCTTGCTATGGTGATATACAAAACACATCCATGGGGTTATCCTTAAGCTGATAACCAGTTAGCTTATACCTGTGTTTCAAAGGCAAGCCCATCAGCTCAGTTACCTTGTTGTTCAGCTGCGTTGCTCCCTGCAGGGAGGCTCCAGTATAGCGAGAGCAAAATTCAAAGAGACCTGGAAACACTGGGCTGGAAAAAAATAAAAAGAAAACACAAATTATGATTCAAAAAGAACACTTAATTCCTCCCAGTTTTTCCAGAGCAAAGCCAGGAATAAAATTGTCTAGGGACATTACATTGACCAATAGCAAAACTCACTCTCCATGACAAGGTTAATTTGGGATCATTCTGACCCTGCTTATAACACAAAGTACCAGCAGGTAGAAATCTGACTGCAAACACAATGGCAAACTTAGTGAATCTGATAATGATTACCAAAGCTTCCAAGCCAGTGCAGAAAAGGCTTCCCCTGCCCACAACAAATGCCAGGGTTCATGGACATGTGCCTGGAGCTAGGACATGACACGGGAGGAAGGAAGATCACTCCCACACCATGTCCCCACAGGCCCCCTCAGCCTCCCAGCACATCAGGCACAACGCTGCAGAGCCAAACACTGCTCTTAGGGCAGAGCTGAGACACGACCCACTCGAGCACGCAGAGCCAGCCCAGGCACCAGGATCTCTGGGAGAGCATAGGAACAGAGGACATTGAGACCCTGTGTTACACCCTCACAGGCAGCATGTTACAAATGTCATTTGTAGAATGGCCTGGGTTGGAAAGGACCTCACAGATCACCCCGTGCCAACCCCCTGCCACAGGCAGGGATGCCACCCCCCACACCAGGTTGCCCAGGGCCTCATCTAACCTGGCCTTGAACACCTCCAGGGACAGGGCATCCACAGCCTCTCTAGGTAACCTGTTTCAGTGTCTCACCACCCTCTGAGTAAAAAGTTTGCTTCTGACCTCTAATCTAAATCTCCTCTCTTCATTTAAAACTAAAATGAAACTAAAACCATTGGTTTAAAACCATTTAGTTTAAAACCAGTCGTGGACAAGCAACGGCTTAAGAACTGTGGTGTTGTTTTTTTCCTCCTCTATTCTGATAAGATGGTTTCTGATCATCAGAGCAGTGACATTACAGAACAGTCTTCCAATTCCAGCCTAAATATTAAAAACCAGGCTATACTGATACTTTTTTGGGACAACACTGTTCTCTATGTAACATAACTCCTCTTGTGCTTGTACTTAGAGCTTTGCCTTCCAAAGAATACAAAGAACAATCCTATTCTCAGACAGACATTATTTTCCTCAACCTGTCTGCTTCCTCAGTCACCCAGAGAGCCCGTCCACACTTTTCTTTCAAGTTTCATCTCTCATGAACATGAAAGGCTGGATTGAATATTCTCAACAAGATCTCATGTGGTTTTGTACAGAAGCATGAAACTCTCTTCTGTCCTACCTGAAAATCAGGCTCTCAGAGCTGCCTTGAATTTAACATGCACATATAAAGGTAGATGAAAAGAGAGGCAATTATTTTAAAAAATAGCATGCTCAAGGAGAACTGGAAGTTCTGCAAGAACAAGCAGACATACAGTCTCTAACTCAACAAGCTTAGTGTAAATATAGATCTAAAAAGATGGACAGCAAAATCTAAAGAGAAGGGAAATGAATTAAGGAGGTTCTGATAATCTGATGTACTCAGGAGGGTCGTGCACCTCATTCTGTTTAAAGAAAATAAAAACCAGCATGTGCTATCAGAGCTCTGCAGACATAAACCCCGCAGGATCACTTCAGACTTTCTGGTCCCGGTTCGCAGGAGGCACAGAGCACTCACCAGTCATCACCCACGTTGAAGGCGTTGAGGCTCTTGGTGAACCCCTGCATGTTGTTGGGACTCACTCTCTGCAGGAAGTCTATGTAGTCCTCGGAGTGGAACCGGCACATGTCGTGCTGGGATGCCTGGTACGGCTTGAAAACCTTCAAGACAGAAAGACAAGACTTATTTCCCATTCAAAGCTGTGCTTGCTTTGGCCGCAAGAAGTCCCAGGCTGACAAATGACCCACACGAGGTGGATCTAGAAGTGGGCCAGCACACTGGCTTCCTGACATTCATGTTTATTTAAATGCAGCAAGCTGCTCCACAAAGCCTGTTTGCCTACTGATGTCTATCTTCTGGCCATGAGAGCGTCTCCTGCCTCTCATAACAACTGCAGCTTTTCCCTTATACTCTCTGATCCCTTCTTTTCACCAACACACCCCAGCTGACTCTAAACTTGAGATTTTTCTTCACTGGGGAGCACTAGTCCCTCATCTGTCACAAAACCCAAACCACCTTGATTTAAGAGGGGTTTCTGTCCCTCCATCGGATCAGCCTGCAGCAGGCTGCTGAGTTCAGAAGTTGTTTGCAGCAGGCTCACGGATAGATGGAACATACGCATAAGCTTTGTTTCCTTTGGAAAGTCAGCAAGAAACAACCATGGAGCTGGGTGGATTCAAACTGAAGTTCTCGTGACAACACGCGCTTGCCAGTTTGGCACTTACCACGCATACCTCAACATCCAGGAAGTTAAAAGTCAACACCACGTACCCCATAAGAGGAAATTAAAGCTACACTGAAATCAATAAGAGATCTTCGGTGTTTCACAACTTGTCTTAATTAAAAGTGTGCACTTAATAGAACAGTGGGAAGATGAAAATAATATGAAACGAGCTTGTCTCCAGAGGGAAAATGTGTCAGGGCAACTCCCACAGCACGCCTGCTCCCTGTGCTATGCAGGACCCCGCAGAGACCTGCTGATTTTCAGAGGGAAAATAGAGCCTAAGCCACGTAACATCTCCTGTAGTGCACAACTGTACCGACCTGCGCAGCGTTTTCCAGACAAATGTGCAGGGTTTGGTGTTTCTCAGAAGCTGCTGCCTGGGACAAGGAGGACAGGATGACACTGCAGCAGCTGAAAGTGGAGGCCAGACCCCCCTCCAGAGACCAGCTCCAGCAGGACCAAAAGCAACACTGAAGAATCGCCATGGAAAAGAAGTCACCCTCACGGGGTATCAAGAGGCTCTCTTGGGCAAGGAAAAGCAGGGACTTGGAATTCAAAGCAGAAAAGGGAGGGGGGGTGGAATAAAAACAAGACCGAAAGCTTCAAGCCTGACTCAGCTGCTGGCAGCAGGAGAAAGCTGACTCCTTCCCCTCCGTGCCCGTCGCTCACAGGATCCCACCCAGTTTCTGGGGCAGGCCCTGGTGCTCAGCACCCCGCTCTGCCAGCTCAGCACCGGGCTCCCCTGCTTCTGCTGAGTGACCAGGTCACAGCAGCTCTCACAGGGACCCAGACGTGGCACAAGGCAGCAGGAACACGCAGCTGAGGAGCAGGGAAGATACGCAGCTGGGCAGACACTGTCTCTCCTTCAGCAACCCTGAGCCCTAAGGATCTGTTCACCACAGCCATAAATAAGCTGGGAAGAGGCAAACCCCACTTCAGCTACCTCGACAAAACAGCGGCCTCTTGCTTGAAGAAGGCAGATAATGATGCAACCATAACACGAAGTCAACAGGGCCTTTTATAGGCACAGCCAGCCAATAATCCCCTGCTTTTATTTGCTTGTCACTCTGCCAGCTGCTGACTGCTCAGGATGAAGTTTCCTCTGCGGTCTGCAGCTTCGTGATGACATTTTGTGGAAAATATACCAAAAAAAAACTTTTCAAGGCTAAAAACACAGCGAAGTGCACAGCCCTGCCTACTGCCTCATGCAGACAGGGACCTGACACAGCAGTGCCATGACAAAACATGTTTTTTGTCATTTCTGCAGGAAAAAAAAATTGAGAGAAGCTACTCATACATGTTCATACATTCGCAGTAAACATCTGAAAGCTAAATTCTGCCAAGATCTCGCACGCTCTGAGCTCACTCCAGCCAGATCTCCCCCGGGAGCACAGCAGGAACAGGGCGATTTTCTGTTGTTTCAGTGGTCTCAAGTGTTGGTACCCAGGCAAGACAGGAGAGAGCAGTTTGATTAAAAGGCAGAGATGCATCTGAGAAAAAAAGAAAAAGGGAAGGGGGAACAGACAGAAGCATCCAAGGTTGGAAAGAGAAAGAAGACCAGCCCCTGCCAAGGCAGGAGACAGAGACAAGAAAATCAAAGGGAAAGGCAAGTTGGGTGACAAAGGCCAGGAGCTGGGAAGAGATCAGATAGGACAGGGGACACAAAGGATCAGAAAGCAAGACAGGGAAAGCTAAATACAGAAGGTGCTGCATCCTGCCAGCGCATGAAGTGGGGACTGGCTTCCCAATGCTTTTACTTCAGCCAGCAGGCACCGGGAAATCATCTCGCACCAGGCTGGACCCTACAGAGGACACAACACTCAGCAGCCACAGGTTACTACACCTGTAAAAGCTCCTATGAGGGCAGCCAAAAAATCCAAAGGATGTGATGTTACCAGATATCAAGCTACTGGAATTGTATAAATTCCAACAGGGAGCTTTTTAAAAAAATAAATGTTTAAGCATAACAAATTAATTTCACTGGTCCATTTTAACATCTCCTTTTAAAAACTGGTATTGTGTGTTAATTTGGGGACAGCTCATTTTCTGTTTCCTGCCGGGTCTCTCAGCATAGAGAATGGAGGAGCTTGAGTTTGAGCCTGCTCCAAATGCCAGGCACTGGTATTGGTTTGGCTGCTCACACTTTGCCACGAAAAAAAAAAGAGCAGGAAAACTGCATTGCTATCATACCTGCAAGAATTTTGTACTGTGCCCTGCCTCATATCCTGAGGAAGACACTGCAAACACGCCGGAGTGCGATGTGCCAGGATCTCCACTGCTCTCTTGTGCTCACAGTAACACAGCTTCGATCCAACATCACCCGATTCTCAAGAGTTTGGCCAGTGTCCCTTAAGGACAGCCCTGCTCTGCAGTCACAACTAAATATGTAGCCAGGTCCCTGAAAGCACAGCAGGAGCTGGCTAGTGGTGCTTAGCTTCTGATGCTGGGGATGAGGGAACCTGGGAGCTGCCTGGCCTAGCTGGAGACTGCTGTTTGCACAGAGCTGTGGCAAAGAAACGCGCAGCCACGGGGTTTTTACAGCAGCTCACGAGCTGCCCCTAAAGCAGGCTGCAAACCTGAGAACACATCCCGGAGCCTGACCAGGCTTTCTTCTTCACAACTTTAGAGGAAGTCCTGATTATTTTTGCTTTATCAGTGACTTGTAATTGCCTACAATCATTTTGAGAATGCCTGAATCAGCATAACCCTCTGGTCACCCAGCTCAGGCACAAGCAATGGGGGAAGCTGGAGTGCCCCAGGGACCAGAGCCCGACTGTGCAAGGAACACTGCTGGGATGCAGGAACAGAGGGGAAGGAGCAACACCCCTGGTTTTACACCCTGTGTGCTAACCATGAGTGATGATGCCAGTGACAGAAGTGCTCTTTGCTTCTTTTAATGAGGTAATTCCCCTGAGAGGACACCATACACACAGACATACGGGGGCCTGGAGCTGCAGTGCAGTGCTAGGGTACGGTGCTGCCCCAGAGCACATCAGGCAGATTTCAGGCTTTGGGGACAGCAGGCAGCATGCAGACCTTGCCTCACACACAGACACTGTGACCTGGGTGCCGGAACTGTGCTGGCTGTCACAGGAATCCTGTCCCAAAGCAGTCTGGAAGCCATCCTGCAGTACTGAAGGTGAGAATAAGCTGCCCAAGGACTAAACAAGCTGTCCCAAATCACACAGCATCTGCAGACGGCAAATTCTGCAGGTCAAAGTGTGCAGCAGCCATCTCAGAAGCAATGGACAGACACGTGCCTCTCACCAGCCCTGCCTTGGTGCTGCAAGGCGCTATGCCGCATGCCCCGTGCTGGAAGAGTGGGCAGCAAAAGGAACAGGGCTTTGGAAGGGAAGGGGCTCAGTTCAGCTCCCCTTGCACTAGTGAAATAAAATATTTCACAACAGGGGTACCACATATTCGTCCTGATATTCTATTATTCCCAAACTAATCTTGTTCTTCAAACACGTGAAAATTTAAATTTTCTTTCTGGTCATCACTAAACACTACTCATATTTTATCAGGTCAGAGTTCAGGAAGAGACCATCTTTCTAACAGTGACACCAGGAACGCACTGGCCTAGACTGCGGGAACTGGGTGCTCAGTAAGGACTATGAATATTGCTTATTAGGTATAAGACAAGATTAATGAACCCTATTTGGGCACCAATATGAACTGGCTAGCCTCCTGAGGAGCTTTTTTCAGCTTCACCAGTTATGCTCACACAGTGCTGGCCAAGCAGCTGCAACTATGGGTGCTTCAGGTCCAGCATTGCCGCTCCAGCCCCAGTCAGAGCACCGTGAGCAGAGGCTGCACAGGAGGCTGCCATCCCACAGCGACACAGCAAAACAGCACATTAGGGACTGGGGGGCACCTTGAAAGACCACCTGGTGCGATTTCCCCGATGGGGCAGGCACACCTGGACCAGGCCATGCAGGAACACGCCCAGGCTTGGGATATCTTCAGCGAGGGAGCCCACACAGCCCCTGAGCAACCTGTCCCATGTTCCATCACCCTCATCACGAAAATATTTCTTGTTATATTTAAACAGAGCCCCCTGTGCTACCCACCGCCCCTTACCCTGCCACAGGCTGCCCCCCAGGAGGGCCTACCTCTTCCCAACCCCTCCCCCTTTCAACAATTACAAACATTAATCATTGTTTACATCAATTACAAGCAACATATCGCTTATACTAATTATAAAATTAACTATTCTTTATATTTACGCCCCCCCAGCCCCGCTCACGATCATCTTCTTGTAGAGGCCGTAGTGCAGCACCAGGCTGTGGGTGAGCGCCAGGCGGTGCGGCTTCATGGGGTGCCCGGCTCCTGCAACCACAGCGACAGAAAGGGGGGGATCAGGGGGTGCTCACCGGGGGTCCCGGGGGTCCCACCGCCCCCTCCCGGTCCCGCCCCCTCCCCGCACCGTAGTGGAAGTTGCCGACATCGGGGTCGTAGAAGTAGGCCACGGTTTTCGCCATGGCCGCCGCGCGCGCCCCGCTACGTCATGGCGCCGCTCCGTCATCGCGCCGCGCTGTGCGGCACAGCCCGCCCCAGGGGAGGGGCCGGCCCCCAGTCAGCGCCAGTTAACCCCCAGTTAGCTCCCAGTTACATCCCAGTTACCTCACGCGTACCTCCAGTTACCTCACACTTACCTCAGACTTACCCTCTAGTTGTTCGCAGCTGCCCCCACCTGCTTCCAGTCGTCTCCCAGTTGCTTCCAGTTAACCCCACAACTGCCCCCCAGTTGCCACCAGTCGCTCCCAGTTCTCTCCCAGCTGCCCCCCAGTTACCCCCAGATGCTCCCAGTTATCTCCCAGCTGCGCCCAGGTGCCTCACAGTTGCCTCCAGTTACTCCCCAGTTGCTTCCCAGTTACTCCCAGTTACCCCCAGCTGTTTCTAGTTACCCCCAGCTGCTCCCAGTTGCTCCCAGCTGCTCCCAGTTGCTCCCAGCTACTCCCAATTACCCCCCAGCTGCTCCCAATTACCCCAGCTGCCCCCAGTTACCCCCCAGCTGCTCCCAATTACCCCCAGCTGCCCCCAGTTACCCCCAGCTACTCCCAGTTATCCCCCAGCTGCCCCCAATTACTTCCTAGCTGCTCCCAATTATCCCCAGCTGCCCTCAGTTACCCCCCAGCTACTCGCAATTACACCCAGCTGCCCCCAGTTACCCCCCAGCTGCTCCCAATTACTCCCCAGCTGCCCCCAGTTACCCCATAGCTACCCCAAGTTACTCCCAGGTACTTCCAATTACCCCCCAGATGCTCCCAGTTATCCCCCAGCTACTCCCAATTACCCCCCAGCTGCTCCCAGTTATCCCCAACTACCCCTAGTTACTCCCAGGTGCTTCCAATCACCCACCAGTCACTCCCAGTTACCCCCATCAGCTCCCAGTTACCCCCTACCCACCCCCAGTTAGCTCCCAGCTGCTCCCAGTATCACGTCCCCACCTCCCCTGCCCCTTGCCCAGCCGTGGGCGCTGGCAGGACGGGGCGCAGGGACACAGCTGTGGGGCACAGGGGACGTGCTGTGACACCCGTCCCACCCCTGAGATCCCCGGGATAAAGCTCATGGGGCCACCCCTGCTGGCACCTCAAGGTGCGGGGGGCAGATAACGCCCGATGGGCCCACGGGGCTGCTCGGGCGTCACGGTGGCAGCACGGGGGGGGGCTCGGGCCCCAGAAATGAAAACACCCTCGTTTTAAAGGCCACTGACGTGCCAGTGACGTCTGGAAATCTTACAGGGGGGTGAAGATTGGGCAAAGCATCTGGCAAGAGTTGGTTTTGGCCGTAGCGTTTTTATAGAAATTATGGCAATTTCTGCACTGAGTGTTGCAGCAGAGACCCCAGGAGGAGCCTGCCTGTGGGATTTCCACACCAGTCCCCGTTAGCTGCCACAGGGACGCCGAGCACGGTGCAGACGTGTGGTGTCCTGGGGGCTGCCACCCCGCTGTGGTGAGAGCAGGGGACAAGGGGGCACGGTGATGGGCTGGGACCGGGGAAGAGCTGCTGGAATTTCCCAGAGGGGACCGGAGCCTCCAGCTTCAAAGCCTCGAAGGCTTCTGAAGGGACCGAGCAGGGGTGGGGGATGCAGCTCCATGGGGATGTTGCTACCAGGGCCACCACACCATGCCCCAGTGCTGCCCTATAACTGTTGGTGGGAGGAAGGACGGATGGGAGGAGAAACACCATGGGCTGGGAGTACCCTGCAAGGAGCCAGGCAGGAGCAGAGCCCCGCTTCCACCTCCTCCTCCCCATGCAGGGTGGCCCTGGCTGTGGGAAGGGGGATGGCAGGACCGGAGCTTGTTTCCGTCCCCTGTAGGATTGCCACGCAGAAATGCACCGGGTGGGTGGAAGCGCCGGGGAGCAGAAAGGGATTTATTGTGCAGGGACAGCGTGGGTGTGAGAGCAGAAGGAGTCAGCCTCACCCCAGGGCTCGGGAGTTGTGAGGAGCCCCTCTTTGACCACGGAGCAAACCCCTGTTAACATCCTGACAGCAGATTGTGCGATGCTGTGGCTCGTCGCAGCGTGCTGGACCAGCAGCAGGAGCCCTCTCCTGTCCCACTGCCCGTGGTCTTCTCCTGCCGTGGCTGCTCTGCCTCCATCCCAGCCTGTCTCCCTGCCGGGACAGCACGCAGGAGGGTGGCACCTAAAACATGGTGACCCCGTGAAGTCACGGGGGTGGAGGAGGGTCCTGGGCTCCTTGTGGCCACTGCCAGGACTCTCCTGGCCACTTTTGGATGGGGACGGGAGCTGTCAGGGTGGCACAGCCGGTGGATAGGTTATGGGTTTCCTCACCTGTACCCAACCTCACGGGCTGGTTCAGCTGTCCTTGAGCTGGAGGAGGCTCGGTGGTGGTGGGACAGGAGGGTCAGTGTCACCAGGGCTTGCAGAGGTGACATGTGCTTTTGGGGTGGAGGACCAGCACTGGTCAAAGGACCCAGACGCTTCATGTGCTGCAGCAATGTTGATTTGGGTAAAGCCTCCTGGAGTGAGGATAGAGGAGGAGGAGATCGTGGCACTGCCACGGCTGGGGATGTTGAACAGCTCGGTCCTTTTTTGGGGAAAGAGGGAGAGCCAGTGTCCCCGGTGTGGGGTATTGGGGTGTGGGGGCTCCTTTGCCACGCTCCCACTGGTGCAGATAAACACACCTCACCCCCGTGCCGAGACCCCTTCCACCCTGCTCCCCCCAAAAACTGCCCAAAAAGGATGGTGCTGGGGAAGCTGGGCTGCCCGGACAGAGCTGGGGTGATGTGAGGCTGCCCCGGGGCAGGGAGCAGTGCGCCAGCACCCGGCGCTCCCGTTTGCCCCTTGCTGCAGCTGCCAGCAGCATTTCCCTGAGCTCCCCTGCAGCCTGCCCCCGCCGCAGCCGCTTCGGAGAGCTCGAGCTGAGGACAAGCGGGTGCTTTGCCTGGCAGGCGCTGCCTCGGCAGGCAGAAGCCGCTTGGCTCCTTCCCGAGGAAGCCAGGGCAGCGGAGGATGCTCGCGGCGGTCCCCAGCCGCAGGGATGCGGGGTTGCTAGGAGGCAGGTGAAGGTGACGGGGACAGCGTTGCGGAGCACCGCAGGCCCAGGTACCGCCGCAGCCCTGCTGCGGGGACGGGGATGGGGACAGGAGGGCCCCTGGAGCCCCCGCGCAGAGCAGGCGGCGGCGGAGGGAAGGAGCTGCGGGGGGACCGGTGGAGGATGCGGGAGCTGGCGGCTGGCTCGGCCCTTCGCCGCCACCGCTCCCTGCCGTGAGTAGCCAGAGGGGCGAGGGGCTCCGGCAAGGGCGATGGTGGGGGCCCTGTGTCCTTGGGGTGCTGCCTGCAGCGGGGCGGGGGGGGGCGATGCAGCAGCCTCCGGGCTGGTGCCGCTGCTGCCCTTGGGATGCTTCGGCGGCTGTGATGTGTCCTTGGGAAACCGCGCTGGGCCGGCCATGGCGGGGCCGGGGATGAGCCCTCATCCCGAGCTGGGAGCTGGGTCTGACCCAGTAGGGCCTGGCGGCAGCGCAGAGTACACAAGGAGGAGGAGGAGGAAGAAGAGGAGGAGGCGCAGGGAGCCTGCTGGGGGTCTCCGAGCCGCCTTCCCCCTTCTCCTAGATCCGCATGTCCGACCAGAGCAGCAGCGATGATGGGGAGTCCGACCCCCAGCACAGCCTGTCCATGGTCTTCCTCCTCGTCCTCGTCTTCTTCATCATGGGGCTGGTAGGATTCCTGATCTGCCATGTCCTGAAGAAGAAGGGCTACCGCTGCCGGACTTTCCGGGACGAGCTCGACCCAGATAACAAGGACGTGCTGGCGGAGCTCCAGGCCAGTGAGTACGGGCAGCGGGGTGCCGGGGGGCTGCGGCGATGCCCTTTGGTGCTCCTTAAATTCAGCCCTCGGGTATGGGCTGGGGGTGGCCGGGGACCCTGTGGTGGGACGTGGTGCCCACCCTTTTTCCCAGGGCCTGTCCCCACCACATGCTCGCAGAGTCCGTGCAGCCCCGAGCTGTGCCCCATGGGCGCATGCCAGAGCTCGCGGCTTGAGTTGGCTGGGCACGAAGACACTGTGTGAAGTTTCCAGGTTGGCTTTGCCTGCTGGAGATGCCACAGCCCAGGGAAACATCTCTGTGGGCTTCCAGGAGTGCAGCAGTGGCCACTGACCAGTGCTGTGCAGGGCAGCTGCCCACCAGACCTCAGCCAAGCCCCCTGCCCCCTCAAAGCAGGTTGTGATGAATGCTGGCGATGGGTGCCACAACAGGGCAGACATCCAGCCAAGTTTCCCCAGCACGCTCCTTTAAGCTTCTAACACTCTAGCTCGGGGACTTTCTCCATCAGAGGTGGTTTCTATGTATTTAGCAAGCCCCCCGTGGGTCTCTTGGCTGTGAACCTGTCCCGTTTACCCTTGGAGGCCTTTAGCACCGCAGCATCCTGAAGGTGGCAGCCCCAGGGCTGAACTGTCCTCATGAGGAGCCTCCTCTTGGAGCCTGTTCCAAACCTGCTACCCACTCGTGTCCTTGGATGCTCCCCAGAAGGAGCAACGTGCCCCCACCTCGCTGCACCACTGGCTGCCATTTCAGCCCCCCTCCTTTCCAGGGTGGAGCTCTGGAGTTCCTCAGGTTCCTCCTGCAGCCGTGGGGACTTGCAGCTCCTCGGGACTCTGTCGGCACTCACAGCTCCTGCTGAGCTGGGCCTCCCAGCCCCACGCCCTCAGTGCCATGTTTTCTCCTTTCAGATGAAGAGGAAGAGCTGAACGAGGACACCGTGGAGAAGATTGTGAGATGCATCATCCAAAATGAAGGTGAGAGTTTCCTTGGGCTGGCTCAGAGCCTTGCTGACAGCTTTGGCTGACACGCTGCCTTTTTGCTCTCTCTCCAGCCAATGCAGAGGCCCTCAAGGAGATGCTGGGGGACAATGAAGGGGACATCCCATTGCCAGTGCCCAGGTGAGGGAAGCCAATTCCAGCTTGTGGCTCTTCCACAGTAAGGGAGAAGCAACGGCTGGGCATCACCTGGGTCCTCAGACTCTGCACCCAGCCCCTTCCCATGTCGGCAGCTTCTTACAAAGCATCTTCCCAACAAGAAGTCCCTCTCCCCTGGGACACGGGGGTTGTGAGGACTGC